CCCGCCGCACCTCGATCTTCTCGCCGATGCAGGCCGCCATGGTGCCGCCCGCGGCTCTCACTGCCGCTCCTCCTCCTTCCCCGGCGGCGGCGGTTCGAGCTCGCCATTACGGCCGCGCGCCCCGCCCCAGGCCGCAGCGGCGATACGGGGCCCAGCGGTGAGCGTCCGCCCCTCGCGCCACCATTTTGAAAACTCGCGCCGTTACCCAGAATGAGGCTGTGGCTGACGTCACCACGCTTAACGCTCGCTCAAGGAAGTGGGGAGGGCGGGGTAGTGGGCTCGGTGCGCATGGGTATAGGGTGGTGGGCAGGCAGCTAGCGGCGTTCGGGCCTCCTGCGCATGCGCTGGGGAGAAGTGAACGGCGGGCCAATCAGGTGCGGCGGTTGGAACGGCGTTCCGAGGCCGTTGCCAGTGGGTAGTGCTGCCGCTCGCTCCCAGTTTGCAGCTCGCAGCACTTCCCAGGTGCGTCGGAGCCCGCAGCCTCCTGCCCCCCACCCCAGCAGCACCTTGAGCCCTAGTGCTGTGGAGCCTAGCTTCCCGCTCCCCCACCCTTGTCCCCTAGCCCCTGGGCGGCCCAGCCAGAGCAGAGCTCATGGAGGGGAAGGATGCAGGCTGCTAGCAGCAGGCTTGGCGCTCCTTGCCCTGTCACCCTTGTCCTGTTCCCCACGTGGGTGGCACGTCCAGAATGGAGCCTGTGGGGTCGGGGGAGAGGACACAGGCTACTTGTGTGATTGGGGCTCCCTGCCCCCCACCTTTGTCCTCTCTCCACCTCCTCCCTGCAGGTAGCACAGGCAGAACAGAGCCCATGGGATGCAGGAAGGATGCACTGTAGGCTTAGGGCTCCCCACCCTGCTGCCCTTCCCTTGAGCCTCTCCAGCCAAGCAGGCAGGGCCTGGGGTGGGAGAGAGCACCAAGCTGCAACCTCATTTGCTGATGTTGTGACCCCATTTGGGGTTGCACCCCACAGCTATGTTAGAACGTATTTTCCATGTTTATTCATGACTGTATATTTGACAAAATTCTCTCTCTATGGCAATATCTGATTCATGGCTAACAACTTTTAATCATGTGAAGCTTTGACAAAGGAACCAGGAATAAGGAACCAACTCAGCCTCATAAGGGATGTGAAGTGTCAGCCAGGTTAGGGGCTCCAGCCCCTCATTTGCAAGCAGCAGGCTCCCAGGTGGCCCCAGGCAGGGCAAGGAGACAAGAGCTGTACGTAGAGCTTTATTTGAAGTGCAGCTGCAACCATGCGGTGCAGCGTGTGCTAGGAGCTGCTGAGAAATTCCTCACGTTCATGGAGTTCCTATTGCCATCCTCCCAATCCCCTTCCCTTCTCTACAGCTCTGGTTCCAGCCAGAGTGGGATTTGAAGGGTACAGATATCTCAGGAAGGTGACCCAGAAGTCTTGCAGGCTGAGAGGGGAGCAGCTTCATGGTGGTCAGCAGAGGAGCATGCTTCAACCCCCTCCTTTCCCTGAGCTTTGGTGCCTAAGTCAGGGCTGCAGGCAAGTCCCACTGTCCATTCACAAGTCAGAAACTTATTTTTTCAAAGAGCTAAGTCAGGCTCACCCTTTCTTGCCACAGCATGGCTGCAAGACAGAAAGCAGGCACCTCCTGTGTTTGGCATGATACCCTTCAGGGTAGAGCTCTTCCCTAAAATGTGGGTTCTCTTCCCACATACCCGTTACAATAAACAGGTGTGTTTATTGTAATGGGTGTATGGGCTTGGAAAAGGTGCAATGGCAATCTATGATAGAGGATGTATATATATACCTAGATATATATAGATATGTTTTAATTTTAAAAAATGTGGGTTCCCTTCCCTTTAGCTAGAAGGGCTCAAACCTGCATCTCCCATGTTCCCCAGAGTGTGTCCTGCTGAGTGGGAGCACTCCCCACCCATCCTGCTGGAGCTGGACTCCTCAAAGAATTCCTGGAGCCAGAAGGAGACTGCACAGCCTGGTGCCTGGGGCAGTCATTTGGGAGGTGGGAAAGTCCTGAAGACATTGTTCTGTAAAGTCTGGGTTCAAACAGGAGAGAATCAAATTCAGCTCTCTAGACTCATGCTGAAAAAAGCAGCTGTGCCACCACTGCTGAAGAAATCTGCCATAACTGAATCTGGGGAGTAGCCCGATCCAGCCAGTGTGTATCAAGTGTGTTCTCAGAACACCTCAAATCCTTCCAGGTAGGTCCTGGCTGCACAGCCTGCTCATGTGCTCCTGCCACACTTGCAGCAAGCTTGGAAATGAGGCAGGGAAGCTGCATGGAGAATGCCCCAGCACCAGAAATCTCCAGGGTGTGTTTCAAGAGGGACTTTGCTGGTTCATTTCAGAATTTGATAGATGTAGAGTGAGTGGCACACTCAAGCCCAGCAGAAGAATACTATGGGTATAATTCTCAGGGATCATAGGCCTAGTTTCTTGGTCCTGATAAGGTTTGGCAGTTAAGCCCAGGGTACATTTATTGAATATAATCCCCTCCAGAATTAATCAGTAGTTAAGCAGATGTTTTTAGAATCTCAGATTGTTTATGCACATGCTCTGGGTGCTGGGGGGGGGGGAGCACAGACTTTAAGTAAAACCCCTGAAGCATCACATGTATCAGTGTCCCCATGCTGAAAAATTGCAACAGGGGCACTTTAACTTAAGTATTCCCACTGCCATTTTTCAGCACATGCAAGAATGCTGATACATGTGACACTGGAGTGTGGTAATTACCATGCTCCAGCAGACTTGATTAATCGTGTCTGCTCCAACGCGCTGTAATTACACTGCCTTGGAGCAGCCTTGCTGTACACATATAGGCACCCTCAGATTTACCAAATTAGACCATACCCCATTTTAGGCACCTGAGTCTTTAACTAGATACACTCCAACATATCAAGCAATTTCCTCACTGAGGGTCAGGATGAGAGAAAAAATAACACAAGGGTTATTATATATATATTTGATATGTTGTTTGGCACACAGCTACAGTGGTGATTAGGACAGTACCATACTGTCCTACACGGAGCACCACAGTATAACATAAGTTTCTGCAATACTCTAACAATTCATAAACAGAACAAGACACATTCCTTGCATCTCCTCATTATATTCCATAAGCCTGGCAAATAAAACATAATTTCTTTGATTATGGACAGAAATTAGGATATTATTTTAACATAACATGTAATATAAGGGAATGGTATGTCAAGAATATTTTTACATTTTTGTATCTAGGAACATGACATTTCTGTTGTGATGATTGGTAGGATGATTTGAGACAATCAGGTGTGTTACTAGAATAAAATTTGATTGTGAATTTAGTAACAGGCGTTAAAGATAAATTAGTATAAAAAACTCAGTATTGAGGAATAGTTTTGTCTCTGCAAAGATACATGTCCTATTAATGAAAGGTACCTATATGCCCTGAGTAGTGGTTGCAGTTTACTGGACCAGAAGGTGGAGCTCGTAGCCAAGGAGGGACATGAGGCCCCATTGCTGCTCACTCAGCCAGAGAAAGGAGGGAGAGCTTTTGGTGAAAGACTGAGAGATACATCTCTCCTTCTTTAGCCTCAGGTTCCAAGGAAAGATAATACCCTAGCAGAACGGGCTCCTTCTGATAAGACAGCAAAGAGATAATAGAAAATGTGTGGCGTATCTGATCTTCCTCTTTTATTACGCCAAAGACTTAACTACTAATCCACCATCTGACATATCTGTTTTAATTGGACTTTGAACCTAAGTTTTAGTATTCTTGGCAGGTTTTGTCTCACAGCATAGATGATAGAGAAAATCTTTCAGTCATGTATCATGAATGTTTATTTTCCCCTCCCCCCACATTATCTATATAGTTTGTCTGCATAGCCTGTGCTGTTCTAGTAGTTCATTTAATTTTCTGTGCATGTCAAAGTAGCAATTAAGTCTACTACAGCTCACTAATCCATTTCCTGTCTCACTGATACTGCAAACAGCTATTTTCTTGTAACAAATTTATTTTTCATGCAGTCTGCTTTCATCAGATGCTATGCATCATTGATTAGTTTCTCTTTCCAGAGTTAAAACAGTATTGAAATACATGATGCATGATTTTAAAGATCTATTATCTTGTCAGTTTGTTTATATTCCCATGGACTATGCCATTCCTAGCTACTATATTAAAGGTTGGTTTTGTGTGTGTGTGTGGAAGGCGTGCAAGCAACGTTGTGAGTTATAAGTAGGATTTAATTTGTGTCTAGGTCTTATGTTGACTCTTCAGCCAGATATGAATTTTACCTCAGGTGTGAGGGAGGCATTTGCTTTTCATTTCCTGTTTTAAAATGCTAGTGCCTTTGGTCCTTTTTTTTTCTTACTTAGTATGTATATTACAAATTTTGTTGCTGTAATTGAAGTCTATTTTAGCACTTCCACCAATTATATCACTAGAGAAGCTGCACCAATCGGGAGTTACCATCTTGCAGCTTAGCTAGTAGTACAGGAAACCACATAAGATTTGAAAATTTACTGGGGCTTAAATATGGATAAAAAAATATTCAACCCATGTGTATCGCAGAATGTCCAGAGAACACACTTCTACACCATAAATGTCTGTTACAAGTTTCTTCAGTACATCCTTACTTTTGATTTAATTTATTCTCCAGTATCTTGAAATGGATATTGTGACTAGCAAGAATAACTTGTACGTTCCTTGGATGATGGGGGGGTGGGGAGAGAGGAAAACATCCTACTACAGGCTAAGTTTTGCCTAGGTTTATTTATATTAAGATGATGTGTCAAACATGGCCTATGAGTCTCATGTTGCCTGCAGACCTGTGTCATTATCAGACCTGTAGTGCTCCTACAGGGGAGCAGGACCCATTGCTGAAATCCAGGGAATGGAGCCCCACTGGCTACGTGCATCAGTGGTGAGAGGCATGTGCTGGCTGCATTAACCCTGCAGCTCCCTAATGCCACTGGAAGTGGGCCCAGATCCATCCTCCAAGGAGCCCCAGTCTGGATCCAGCCCAAGTGACCAGATGAGTTTGACACTCCTGGTGTACAAGGATGCCCAAAGTAGGAAGTGTACCAGGAGCAGGAAACTGTGGAAGGTAGCTGCTATTCCAGAAAGGTAGTGCTCCTAAAAAGTGTTTCTGGCGAGGGAAGGGTTCTAACCTGGAAAGCAGAAATATGCTGATTTTGCATAGCCCCTTCAGAAGTTTTTGTCCATCTCCAGTT